ACACCTTGAGTAGGACTGATTTTCTCTGAAGGCAAAGAACTCTGCACAACTTAATATCTCTGTTCATCAACACAGATGATGCATATTATGTATAAATTAATGAAATCATCATCATTATTATATTAATTTAGAAAAAAGGATATTTTCTTATTTCTTTTGAAGAAAGCAGGGAAGAAATCTTAACAAGATATCCATGAAAATGCTTGAAATAAATAAAATGCATGCAGATTAGGGATAAGCTTCAATTATCTGAAAAATTTGCAAGTGTGTTAAGATTAATTTGTTCTAGATGATGCCAGCACACACCAGACCACCGTCAGGAAGACACCTGCTATTAAACAAGATAGGTTTCTTTCTTGTTGCAGAAAGAGAGAACACACTCTATGGGAAATCATGAAGTGTCTCTGTAAGAAGCCATTATAAGAGTGGCTCTTTGATTAGCTCATTTAGGGAAAAATATAAAAGTAAGGGTTCTCTTTAGATTGAATAAAAGAAAGTAGGATTGATTATATAGTTATGTTATATATGGGTGACCATACCAATTGGAAAACATTTACTTGGCCAACTACCTGTACAACCAGTTGAAAAGGATCCATATGTGCCTATCTAAAGAGAAGTGGCCCAAAAGAATGTGAAAATCATTTAACAAAATCATTACCATCACATGCAAGTAAAATTTTCTTAAGACAATGAAAAAAAAACAAAACAGTTGCAAGCATATCGGCAGGGAACTACCAGAAGTTCAAGCCAGATTCAGAAGAGGATATAGAACAAGGGATATCATTGCTGACAAGTGTTGGATCTTGACTGAAATCAGAGAATATCAGAAAGCTATTTACTTGTGCTTTATTGATTTTATGCAACTACTTTTGACTGTGTGGATCATGATGAACTATGGACAACAATGTGAAGGATGGATATTCCAGAACATTTAATTGTGCTTATGAGGAACCTGTATATACAGCAACAGGCAGTTATTCTAACAGAACATGGGGATACTGAATGGTTTTAATCAGGGAAGGTGTAATAGCAGGGTTGTATCCTTTCAACACATAACAATAACCCTTTCACCATATTTATTCAATTTGTTTGCTGAGCAAATAATCCAAGAAGCTAGATTATATTAAGAAAAACATGGCGTCAGGATTGAAGGAAGGCTCATTAACAACCTGTTATATGCAGATGATACAATCTTGCTTGTTGGAAGCAAAGAGGATTTAAAATATTTACTTATAAAGATAAAACTCTACAGCCTTCAGTGTGGTTTGCATTGCAATATAAAGCAAACAAAAATTCTCACAACTGGACCAAAAAAATATTAGAATAAATAGAGAAAAGATTGAAGTTGTCAAATATTTCATTTTGCTTAGAACTACAAACAACATTCAAGAGCAAAGATATCAGTTTGAGGACTAAATTGTGCCTGATTTATGCCATAGTATTTTCAATTGTCTTATATTTGAACTGGATTACAAAGTTAGTTGGAACTGCAAGGTCAGTGGTTCAAGCTCACCAGCTGCTCCTTAGAAACCCTATACAGGGTCGCTATTGGTAAGAACCAAGTCGATGGCAGTTAACAACAACAGTATTTAAACCACAAGGTCAGTGGTTCAAGCTCACCAGACACTCCTTGGAAACCCTATACACAGGGTCACTATGAGGTAGAACCGACTCAGCGATGATACTTAACAACAACAACATATTCATATGAAAGTTGGATAATGATAATTTAAGGAAAACCATAGAAAAATTGATGCATTTGAATTTTGGTGTTGGAAAAGAATATTAAAAGTACCATGGACTGCCAAAAGAAAAAAAAAAAAAATCTGTCTTGGAAAAAGTACAACCCAAACGCGTCTTAGAAGTCAGGATGTTGAAATTTAGTCTCTCAATCTTGGGCATGTTACCAGGAGGGACCAGTTCCTGGAGAAGGACACCATGCATGTAAAAGTGGAGGGTCAGTGAAGAAGAGCAATACTCCCAACAAGATAATTGAAATAGCAACAAGGGCCTCAAACATAACAATTGTTTAGATGATGCAGGGCCAGGTAGTGTTTTGTTCTATTGTGCATAGGATAGCCAAGAGTCGGAACTGACTAGATGGCACCTAACAGGTAATATGGGTGACTGAATGACTTAGTTTTCATCTGTGCTTACAAAAAATTAAGAAGTGGCCTGTTTTGTTTCATGTATCCCTGACCTCAGTTCAGTATTGTTTAAGGTTTGCATTCTGTATGATTGCTTATGTCCAGGAGGAGAACAAAATGACTTGGCTGTGAGCATCAGACCAACTTGTAATAACACAGATGTCAGATTAACTCCAGACATCATGGGCTGTTTTTCTTCTTTTTTTTAATAATTATCAAAAGAGGTTTCACATAAAACTGAAAATGAGATTTAAATCTTAATACTTTAAACTGCAATGTCTAAATTTCAATTTTTTTCCCAGCTGCTGTCAGGGATATTTCTCTAGAGACAGAGGATAAATGTGTTAACATGGTATTGTGACCTAACTGAATAGTCTGTATAGTCATGTGATACTCATGATTAAAAAATAAAAAGATTGATTAAACTTATTGAATTGGACTAGACAAGCCATTTAAAAAATTCAAACATATTTATTCAGAATAAATTTGCTATGTGTGAACTGTTAGCAATTTGAGAAAAGAATTTCATTTACATGAGTTCAATTTTTGGGGTGGGTTTTACCCCAAAGCAGACATTATAGTTATTTGGATAAAATGTGTGCATTCTCAGAAGTCAACATGCTTCAGTTCTGATACCTTATACCTTATATTAATCTTATATTAATCTAGGATAGAGCTGCCTGTGGAGTCCTGGTGTGGCACTGTGAGTTAATGCACTAGACTGAAAGGTTGGGTTGAATCACAAGGTCAGCTGTTCAAGCTCACCCGCCGCTCCTCAGAAACCCTGTAGAGGCTCGCTATGAGTTGGAATTGACTTGATGACACTTAACAACAACAGCGAGAGCTTTCTGTGGAATATTCTAACATTTAAACACTGACTTGTTTCTGTTTGTTATTCTGAATTATTGTTCCCAAGAGTCAGTAATCTAGTGCAAAAACTTTGTCTTACTCATGCCTTTATCTTCACCATCTAGCAGAGTTCCTGACATAAACAAGATCAGTACACATTTATGAGACTTAATTTGTTTACTACAAACTTTTAGCATGTGTTACTTAAAATTTATGAACAAACTCCTGGTCTTCTCTATTTTAAGAGTACTCAACAATGAAATTATCTTTAAATGGTGATCCTAATGTTTTAGATAATAAGCAAGAATTATAAAATCTTTTTGGCTTCTCTTTTAAGAGTTTATTTTGAACATAAAAGGATATAATATCAACTTGAAGTTAGCAATTGAGTACATATCACAGGGTGTGTAGTTGAGTTTTTACTGTGACCAAAATACAATGGAAGTGCTTTATCATCATTATCTAAAAATAAAATCAGGTTCCTTTATACCACTTGTTTCAGTCAACCAATTAAATCAATGGAACTGTAGTAAATACTCTGAGTGGAAGAATGGGTTGGTGGCAAAACAATAACAGTTTATTTGGCGTCTGAATTTGTAGACTATAAAAATAGATACTTGATAGTTATTGGTCTGTCCAGATAGGCATATGTCTTGGTCCTCAAAATGTAAATCCACATTTTTAAGCTTAATTTGCTGTTAGATCATTATTTAACCTTGTCCCTACTCCCTCTTCCTCAGATGTCAAGGAGAACTAAGTCACCATCTAAGAAATACTATTATGCCTTTCTACTAGTTATTCCATAGAGTCTGTAGATTTTTTGACATATTGTGGATCTTGCATTATTGAACACAGAGGACCTGTGTGAAAATTTAATAAATTATTGTTATATGGTTCATGTTAACTATATATATTTACAGAAATATACTTGAGTAAAATGTACCGCTTGGTGAAACATGAAATAATAAGAGAAGATACATTTTCTTTTGCATATTTAAAACTTATTTAACTGTTTGTTCAAATCAAAGAACTATAGACCAGAAATATTTTCATGTTTTAGTTTCAGGAATATTTGCAATTTAATCAGGGAGGATATGAAGTTGACCACCTGCTCTGGCACTGTGTTGCTGTTTGGTCTTGTGTTCAAAATAATAGCCGAAAATTGAACAATGTGCTTGAACATCTCAAGTTCCAGAAAACACAGCTTCTAAAGAAATACTGGTAAGGATGATCCTATAAATCCAAAATAACTCTTGGAGCAACCTTTGTACTTAAATGTTAAATAACTTTTGTACTTAAATGTTAATCACACCTTAGTTGAATATGAAAAATATTTATTATCTCAATTCAAAGAGCAAGAGCAATTTATATATTTTGTATTAATTTATTTCATCAATAAATTGTCATTATCTTTTTCTGCTTGAAATGCACTCACATATTGCACACTTTGTCTTTATTAAATGGAATGTGTTAGTGGTAAGAAGTTTTATTCTCACATTCATATTTTGCTTTATTTTTACAAGTTGTTGAGCAACAACAATGAAGTAGTTTACTATCATTGAAAGAAACATACTAAGATTTTATTTTTCTATTCTTAGCTCATGAAGCATAATAAAAACTGAATCTTGGAGTGATAATCATCTGTCCTTTCTTATATATATGTTAATTTGGAAAGGGAAAAGAATTTTAAGCTGTGTACAAAAAATAGCATGAGTTCAACGAAGGGGGAAAAATGATCTTTTTAACTCTTTATTTAACTGTGTATTGGGAGAAGGTTTATAGAGCAAATCAGTTTTCCATATCAACAATTTATATATGTTTTGTTTCATGTTTCATTGATTGCAATTTTCACAATGTTAAATCACTTATCCCATTTCCTCCTTATATTTTCATTTCCATTAGTTCTTCTTTCCTGACCCTGCTGAACTTTGTTCTTGGGCAAATGGTGCCCTGTGGATCTCAAATGATTATTCTAATCAATACCTTCCTAATGTTATTGGTCCCCTTATATACCTGAATATTGCTTGACTGAAAATTGAACCATAGGGGTAGTTCAGTTCCGGGCCTGAAGAGTAACTAAGGGCCACAGTCTCTATCCAATTAGTAAACCTAATTTTTTTTTAAATTTTGAGTTTCATTCCACATTTTCCTCCCATTCTATACAGGCCCGTCTAATGTAATCTCTTTCAGAGCAGTTAGTATTGATTACTGGGCACCATCTAGTTCTACTCTCAGAGTCGTGGAGGCTAAGGTGCATGCGGTCTGTTGTTGTTGGGTGCCATTGAGTAGGTTCCAGTTCATAGCAGCCCTTTGTACAACAGAACAAAACACTGCCCGGTCCTGCTTCATCCTCACAATTGTTGTTATGAGTGAGCTCTTTGCAATTTCCACTATGTCAATTCATTTCCTTGGGGGTCTTCCTCTTTTTGCTGACCTTCCACTTTACCAAGCATGTTGTACTTCTACAGGGATTGGTCCCTCCTGATAATATGTCTGAAGTATGAGAGATGAAGTATTGCTATCCTGGCTTCTAAGGAGCATTCTGACTGTAATTCTTCCAACACAGATTGTTTGGTCTTCTAGCAGTTCATGGTAGTGTTACACTCTTCTCTAACACCATAGATGCAGCAATTATTCTACAGGCTTCCTTATTCATTGTCCAACTTTCCAATACATATGAGGCTATTAAAAATACCATGGCTTGGACCAGGGCCACCTGAGTCCTCAAACTGACATATTTGCTCTTGAACAGTTTAAAGAAATCTTGGGTAGTAGAGTTAACTAATGCAACATCTCATTTTATTTCTTGATTGATATTCCATGAGTGTTGATAGTGTTGTGTTGTTGCTATTAGATGCCATCAAGTTGGTACTGATTAATTCATTGTGCACAAAAGAACAAAACACTGCCCCATCCTGCCCCAACCTCACAATCACTGTTATATTTGAGCACATTGCTGATGCCATTGTGCCAATTCATCTAGTTGGGGGTCTTCATCTTTTTTTTTTTTTGACCCTTCACTTTACCAAACATGATATCTTTCTCCAGGGACAGGTCCCTTTTGACAATATGTATGAAGCATGAGAGATGAAGTCTGGCCATTCTGGCTTCTAAGCAGCATTCTGGCTATACTTCTTCCATCACAGATTTGTTTATTCTTAGGGCAGTCCATGGTACTTTTTAATCCTCTAACACTGTAAGTAAAATACATCAATTCTTCTATGATCTTCCTTATTCACTGTCCAACTTTCACATGCATATGAGGTTATTGTATAGTCAATAAAGCAAGGTAAACAAGTTTTTGGTAGTCTCTAATTTCAGCCAAGATTCATCCGACATCAGCAATGATACCCCAAATACCACATTGTCTTCAGAATCCAGTTTGAGCTTCTGTCAATTTCCTGTCAATGTAAAGTTGCAGCCATTTTGGAATTATCATAATTAAAATTTTACTGGCATATGATATTAATGGTATTGTTTGTTGATTTTTTGCATCCATTTGGGTCATCTTTGGAATAGGCACAAATATAGGTCTCTTCCAATCAGTTGGCCAGGGAACAGTCTCCTACATTTCTTGGCATAAATGAGTGAGTGCCTCCAATGCTACATCAGTTTGCTGAAAGATTTCAGTTTATATTCCATCAATTCCTGGAGCCTTGTTCTTTACCGATACTTTCAGTGCACTTTGAAATTGTTTCTTCAGTACCACTTGGGTCTTGTTCACATGCTACCTCTTGAAATGGTTGAACATAGACTTTTTTTTTTTTTTTTTTTAATATGGTGGCCCTGGTTTTTGTGCGTGTGTGTGTGATACAGTGGCCATGTGCATTTTTTCCATCTTCATTTGATGCTTCCTGCAACGTTCAATATTTTGCCCATAGAATCCTTCAATAATGCAAATTGAGGCTTGGATATTTTATTAAGTTCATTCAGCTTGAGAAATGCTGAGCCTCTTCTTCCTTTTGGATTTTCTAATTCCAGTTCTTTGCAATTCTTGACTTTGTATTCTCGAGATGCCTTGTTAAATTTTCTGTTCAGCTCTTTTACCTCCTCATTTCTCTAATTTGCTTTAGTATCTGTATACTGAAGAGCAAGTTTCATAGTCTCTTCTGACATCCATTTTGATCTTTTCTTTGTTTCCTGTTTTCTTAATGACCTTTTGCTTTCTTCTTTTATGATGTTCTTGATGTCATTCTACAGCTCTAATGGTCTTCAATCATGAATGTCTAATGCATCAAATTTGTCCTTCAGATGATCTCTGAATTCAGGTGGGTTATGTTCAAGGTCATACATTGTCTCTCATGAACTTGTTTTAATTTTCTTCAGCTTCAACCTCAACTTGCATGTGATCAATTGATGGTCAGTTCCAGTGTCTGAGCCTGGTCTTGTTTTGGTGGATGGTATTGAGTTTTACACAATGTCTCCCCATAGATGTAGTCATTTTGATTTCTTTATATTCCATCTAGTGAAGTCCCTGTGTATGTTGTTGTTGTTGTTGTTATGTGCTGTCAAGTCAGTTCCAACTCATAATGATCCTGTTTAGGGTCTCCAAGGAGTGGATGGTGAGTTTGAGCCATCGACTTTGTGGCTCAAACTTAACTTACAGTCCGGCACATTATCCTGTAGCACCACATCAGGGCTCCCTTTTATGTTGTTTAAAAGTGGTATTTGCAACAAAGAAGTCATTGGTCTTGCAAAATTCTATTATGTGATATCCAGTATAATTTCTGTCATCAAAGCCATAGTTTCAAACTATGAATCCTTCCTCTTTGTTTCCAACTTTCACATTCCAATCTCTAGTGATTATCAATACACCTTGATTTCATGTTTCATTAATTTCAAACTGAAGAAGCTGGTTGTTGTTAGATGCCGTCGAGTTGCTGCTGAGTCATAGAGACCTTATACACAACAGAATGAAGCACTGCTTGGTCCTGCACCAATCTCACAATCATTGCTATGCTTGAAACCATTGCTGCTACCACTGTGTCAGTCTATCTCATTGGAGTCTTCCTCTTTTTCACTGACCCTTCACTTTACTAAGCATGATATCCTTCTCTTGGAACTGGGTTCCTCCTGTTAACGTATCTGATGTATGAGAGATGAAGTCTGGCCATCCTGGCTTCCAAGGAGCATTCCAACACAGATTTGTTTGTAATTTTGGCAGTCCATGGTACTATTAATATTCTCCTCTAACACCATAATTCAAATGTATCAATTCTCCTCTGGTTCTTCCTTATTCATTGTCCAACTTTAACATACATATGAAGCTATTGAAAATACCATGGTTTGGGTTAGGCATACCTTAGTTCTGAAACTGACATCTTTGCTCATAAACACTTTAAAGAAGTCTTGTGCTGCTCTGTCTCTGCATGTACTCATCTCTGTCTCATCTCTGATGTTGCTGCTTCTCTGGATAGGGTCCCACATTCCT